CATACAAACCCCTGATGGTATTGATCCAAATACTTTTGTATAATCATGACGATTTATAGCTAAATTGAAATGTAAACAAAATTCTTCATAGGAGAAAAGCGTACCATTTGAATCAAATAATTGGTTGACTAAAACAATGTTATTCCTAAACCAATGCGGCCTGAATTTAGAAACAGCTACGATACGGAACACAGCTTCTTCTTCTTTGTGGTTTAACGGCAGCTGGCATCCGTGTACATGCGGTGCTGCCACCTTCTGTTTCAGTCCGGTATTACACTCTTAAATCCTACTACTTATTCCTGCGTCTTTCAGGATCTGTCCAAGCTTCAAACAAGACATAATCGTGACTACTCGACTAATCGTGGCAGCCCTTCTGCCAACAAGTGTCATGTTTATAAGCTAACCACCACCACTGAGTAAGGCCCCACTCAGTACCTGCTTCCTCCATTTAATAAGCAAAACAGAACAAAACTTTCAAAGTGTTTTACATTACAATCGATTTTAAACTGAAAACCCAGTGAGCATTGATGAGTTTTACTTCATGTAAGATGGGCACACTGGGCCCCCGCTGGCTGCTCCCAGCAGACGTTTGATAACTTGTGTGATTGGCTGCTCTGCCACCTGTGATCCCTGTGTTTAGGTTTAAATATGACAGATACAACATGGGCCGAGGCTTGTGCTCTAAAAAGACAATCAATTATGTTTTTGGTTTGTGCTGGCACTTTTTGTTTGCTTTACCTTGCAGAAATAAGACCTTGCATATTCATCTAAGGAATTTTGCGTGGCTCATTACAGTGGATTATCCGTTGATAGAATCCGGATTAGATCAGCTTTGCCTTACAAACAAAGACACACGATTGGAAAGTGCTCTGCCTTCTGAAACGACAGCAGAGACTGCAATAACCAAGCTGCACAATATAGGACGATGTTTACCAAGTTAAAATAAAATCAGAGGATATTTGAAGTTGTGTAGTTTATTTTGGGCGGGGGGGGCAGTGAACATTACACAGAGGAATTTGTTATCTTAACACATAAAATAGCTAATATACAACAAAATTCTGTGCCATTGATGGCCTCTTTCCTTCATCCTCTGGCTCAGTGAGAGAGATGTAATCACTGCAACTTCAGAGTCTGTGGGGAGAAGGAAGAGGAAGGTGGCCTTGGATTGCAATACCTAGAGACTAGAAGGAGGCACCAGCTTATCCTATCAGCCGCAGGCCTCACGGGATTGAACAGATGATGACAGTTATTCGGGGAGCTGTGAAAACAGGCTGCTTTCAGGAATGGCTGAAGAATACCGAGCAAAAATGTGGAAGTGTGGAAACAAATGTTTTGGTGGTCAGGTCTTTGTTCCGAGGGCAGCATAGCATCCTGGGTGGGGAACGGTAAAGTGAAAAGATTTAGT